TAACTAGCACATACACCGATAAATGCAATATAAATCCAACAATGCATAGAACTGCATAAAATGCATATAATAATAATAATAATATTTATACCCCGCCCATCTGGCTGGGTTTCCCCAGCCACTCTGGGTGGCTTCCAACAAAATATTAATATACAATAGTCCGTCAAACATTGAAAGCTTCCCTAAAATTATGTTGTGGAAATATAGTACAGCATGGGGTTTCATATATTTATTCTTATTGCTATTTTTGTAGAAAAAGAGGTGCCAGAACTCACCATGAACACCTACCTCATTCTCCTAGAATGGCAGTGGTGCCCACCTGAGAGGTGCTAGAACAGTGTTCTGGCTGAAAAAAGCCATTATTGTTGTTGTCATTTTTATTTCAATTTATTTATTGCCTTTTATCAAAAGATCCCAGGACAGTGTACAATAATAAAAACATAATACAGAGTAGGCTTTTATCTTTTAAAGGCCAGTGTATGAGTGGCTCAGACATAAGCAAGCACTTGAGACTGGTGATGGTCCAATGCAGGCAAAGCTTAAGTTGGTCCAGAACTGCCAAATTCGATGTGGAAATCCATTTAAAACAGATTCCCCCTCCATTCTGAGGCAGAAAAAACTCTGATCAGCTTCTCTTGAAATCATCCCATGATGAAATCCTCTGAAACTGCCTAAAAACGTTGCTTGTGTTGAAGTTTGGTAGCCCCTCAACAGAAAGCAAAACAAACAAACTGAAAATTCTGGAGGCTCATAGAAAACTGCCCTACAGGAACTATAGTTCCAGTATCTTTGAGAATTTTCAGGTTGCTTTCCACTGGGAGTCACAGCTTTTATTTTTGTTAAGTGAATCTTCTTGAGATCGCCTGGCGCTCCCCCATCTTCTTCCCAAGCTCAGATTTCCTATTGAAATGGAACCATGACTGTACGCATTGTCTGGACCTGACTATCCAGGCAGGCAAAATGGATGGCCATTTGGCTAGATGGTCCGGATGAAATGTGTGCCTTAGTCACACTAGACCCTGGAAAGTTTGCCAGGATTAAGGCTTGCCTTCCTCTTTTCTAGCTTTGAGTCAAAAGCATTATTACACTTGTGTATGGAGTGAATATTCATTATTGCTATTATTTATTTGCCTGTTTTTCACCAGCTCCTGGGGAAATTGTTCATTTTGAGGGGTCACAGAGTCACTCCCAAATGTGAGCTTTGTAGGGGAGCAGCTGCAGTTTGCAGGGAGGGGTGGAACCAGCCCACAACACCCCTCACACCTTATTTCAATGGCTAGGGAAAATACCTATACAAGACCTTGTGAGCTCTTGTCTAGCCAAGTTAGGGGGCTTCCTGTTCAGGAAGTCTCCTTTCCTCCATCTCCTAAGCCTGGCAAACTTGCTCCTTAAGCAAATGTAACCTTAGGTTTCCCAACTGCAAAAGCTGATAGGCAGATAGAAATAGCCCAATGAGTTCCATCTTCTTGAATGAGCAAAAATTGAAACCTAATTTGGCTCACGAATTAGAAAATTGCATCCTCAGCTTCTCATATATTTCTGATAACTTCCCACTTACTGGTCTTTAGCTCACAGCATTTGGGGATATAATTCTGTACACCATGAAAGAAAAGGACCCGTACCTTATTTTTTATTAAACGGTCACAGTTCCCTTTTGACATCCAGACTAAATTCAATCACAACGAGGTTATATTTAGCCTTCAGAACGTCACCACTTTGGTAATTGCTGGAGTAAAGAAAAGATAAATATAAGAGAGAATTAATAAGATGGATTTCTTAAGCCAAAACCTTTATACAGCAAGCGAGATAGTGAGTTGGAATCTCTTTATTATTTTCCTTTCTCTCCCCTTATGAGACATCTAACGAGAGTAATATTACCACCTGAGACGAAAATGACATTATATTTGAGTAATATGTATAAGCCATTTAAATGCAATCATCCCACTATTGGAACATAATTTAAACACAAATGGGAAAAAATGTTTTGTGGGAATAATCCATACCAAATGGATGAAAATGAATATAGAATATTGTTAGATTTGCATATATACACAGAATATGCTGGGAGTTAGCTTTCTAACTAACATCCTCAAGAGAGTTCTTTGGCTTCAGTAATAGGTCTGTCAGATCTCACCAGTGGGGAATCTGCCCCATTATTTAATTTAGTAGTTATGCTCTTACCAATATTTTTTTTTTTAAAAAAAAGGAATGGGCCAAAGCCTGATTCACAAGTTATTGGTGTTGGGTTTTTACTGGAGGCACACAAGGTTACTCAATACCAAGACTTCCGGGGTGGCGCCATCGGTAATGGCTGCTTCTCTCTAACTCGGAGGGAACCGGCTCTACGGAATCTGGGTCTTACCGCTACGGCGCAGTGGGGACCCCTCAAAAAATCACAGGCGGGTGAAGCCTGTGACCGTGGGACTCAGCGGGCACCGTTTGCGCCCCCCCATTTGCTAAAGGAGCTCGGCAACGGGCTCCGGAGCGGAGCGGGGGTGGCGTGGTGCTGTGAGCAAACTGCTTCTTCCGTGGAGCGAAGCCGCGAAGCTGTTACCGGAGAGCGCTGCCTTTTTCCTGGGACAATCGGACTTTGAAAACAACTACCCGTGAGTAGGATTAAATTGGACTCAAAAGGAGAAAAAAAAACGTCTAATTTGGTACTGAGCGGGGAAGGTACAACCAGGAAGTCTGCCTTCCTTGCATTGTAAATAGATCAAAGCAAAGAGACTCTAAAGCGGAAACACAGATAGTTGCTTGAAAAAAGAGCTAAATCTTAACATCTTGAAAGTGGTTCCCCCTCCGGATTGCAGGAGAGGAGGGGGGGAAAGACTGAGCTGAATTTTCCTGCAAAAAAGAAGGGGAAAAGGCTCTTTATAATGTCTGTAGACTGGATGAACCATGATGTGATTCTTTCTCACCCCTGTTGTGTTCCTGTAAGAGTTCCTACACATATCCTACAGTAATACAAATCAGCATCATGTACACAAGTTTGGAAATTTTTTTGCTGGTTTGGAGGATCCACAAGAACACAAGACTGGACACAACACAGGCATATAATAATAATAGTAATAGTAATAATAATAATAATAATAATTTATTATTTGTACCCCACCCATCTGGCGGGGTTTCTGCAGCCACTCTGGGCGGCTTCCACAAAGACTAAAAATACACTAATATGTCATACATTAAAAACTTCCCTGAACAGGGCTGCCTTAAGATGTCTTCTGAATGTCAGGTAGTTGTTTATCTCTTTGACATCTGATGGGAGGGCGTTCCACAGGGCGGGCGCCACTACCGAGAAGACCCTCTACCTGTTTCCCTGTAGCTTTGCTTCTCGCAATGAGGGAACCGCCAGAAGGCCCTCGGTGCTGGACCTCAGCATCTGGGCAGAACGATGGGGGTGGAGATGCTCCTTCAGGTATACTGGACCGAGGCCATTTAGGGCTTTAAAGGTCAATGCCAACACTTTGAATTGTGCTCAGAAACGTACTGGGAGCCAATGTAGGTCTTTCAAGACCAGTGTTATGTGGTCTCGGCAGCCGCCCCCAGTCACCAGTCTAGCTGCCGCATTCTGGATTAGTTGTAGTTTCCAGGTCACCTTCAAAGGTAGCCCCACATAGAGTGCATGTATGAGGAAGCTGTCTCATACAAAGCTGGCCCATTAGTGCATCAAATTCAGTATGTTCAGGGATGACCTCCAAGTGGTGTTGGACTACTATTATCACCATCCCATTGACCATGCTGACTGGAGCTTCTGGGAGTTGTAATTCAACAACATCTGGAGGGCACCATGTTAGTTACCCCTGTTCTGCATTGGCTGCCTGTGGCTCTCCAGGCATTCAGACAGAGAATATTTCAAGCCAACCTAGAGATGCTGGGACTGAACCTGAGACCTTCTACATGTAGAGTTGAGTTATAGCCCTTCCCGGGACTGTTAGAATCATGCCACCACAGCTAGGAAAGTCAACTTGGGCCCTCAAGTAGAGGAGGAGGCCCATCCAGGGGATATTTCCCCTCAAATGTAGAGCTGACCCTGTCAAATGGGAACAATATACTGCTAGCTCTTCAGACTCTTCCAATTAAGGCTGTGTAGGAAAAGGGAAATCTTATGTTTAAGGGCTCTCTTGGAGGAGCGCCTCCCCTACACATAGAAAACTAACATGTCAAGGAGAAGAGTTTAGATCTTCTTAATGGATTTGTGGGGGTTTTGTGGGGGAGGGATAATGCAGTTCCTTGCTGGTGCATGAAGTAGTAGAATCCCGGGGGGAAAACAATTATCCTGCTAATTTGCTAAATGTATATATACACTGGCCTTCACAATGCGAGCTGTTTACATCAACACCATTCAGCACGGTTGTGAGCATTTTCACTTAGAGGCACAGAGACAGCAAACTGGTCAATATAATTAAACATTTATTGGTTTACAAAGCGACCTGTGAACTGCAGGCATCTTCCTGATAAAGTACATCCCACTGTAATATATAAACACAAAATTAAGTATTAAACAATGCTCCTGTCTGGAGTTCAAGCAGCAAGTGCAAATACAAGCATAATTAGGGGTTGACTCTGCTTCTGCTGACTTTCCCTGCTCCCGAGAGCATAAAGATTGCACAATGTACGGAATGCAAACTCCCATCACCTCCTTAGGACCCTGCTTTAAATCTCTTCTCTGGTTACTGCCCTTCCTTTTACTGGAGGATTTTATCTTACACTGTTATTAAAAAAACATGTTGCTCATTGAAGTAAATGTACTGTATTTAAGTCTTGTATAAACACACAGTTTGGATGGACTAAATGTGTAGTTAGGGATTTTAAGGCATACTCAATTAAGCACACATTTAGGCATGTGGATTATTTTCACAATAGCCTCTGATAGTTCCCAAAGAGCACTTATAATATGCAGTGAATATAGTTTTCGTTTTATGGGTTATTGATCCAATGGATCCTTTGAGTCCTCAATGGTTACCCCGTCAATGAGGTCACAATACACTACACAGATGCCCAGAATCACTGTTAATTCTACCGAATGAACCAGCACCAATGCAAAACAGTTGTTGTCACGGAATAAACCATCACCATAAAGGGAAAAAAAGAAAACTGGAAGTTGTGGTAAGTGGGTCTGATCTGAAACTACCACCAGTTTTCAGGAACATATTCAGCAGAATCTTGGGGCGGGGGGGGGGGCGGGGAGTCCTGTTTCAATGGCCTTCTATTTTATACTGGTTTATTTTTTATTTATCATCTCTCTCTTGTGTTCATGCTTCTCATATGAAATCATCACATAACTAAAAATGATTCGCTATGTAGCATAGTGATGCCATTATGTTTGCTGTGTGATCCTTGATTGGCTGGGATAGCCCATATGATCAATCTATTGTCTTCACATTCAATTGTCTTAATTTACCTTCAGTGGTATCATCATGTAGCCAAATTGTAATGGCTATGTAGTGCAGCAATAGCTACTCATTCATTACATAATCCTCATTTGGCTGGGACACAGACACACCCAACATTCACACACATCAATACTCTTGGAAAGAAAGGGTAGCAGTAACTGTGACAGAAGAAATAATTCCACGGCGATTGTAAAGCAAGGACTAAGGCAAAAGAAAAAGAAAAGGAGTGAAAAGAGGGTACATTTGCACAGTCAAATGGCTTTTAGGGAGATAGTTCGACACACCAAAATCACTACTGATTTGTTGTTCCGCCTGGCCTTTGGCTTGGAGCCAATTTGATTCCCTCCCTCTCTTTCTTTTTTCTTTTCCTTCTCCTCCTGTGATGAGGCTACATTTTAATATTTCAAAATTTTAATGTTGTATTTAATTTTTTTTTTAAGTTGTAATCATTCAACTTGTTTTTATTATTGCTTGTAAACCACTCTGAGCCCGGCCTTGGCTGGGGAGGGCGGGGTATATATATAAAAAAATATTATTATTATTTCACACACCCCCATTGAAACTGGAGAATATTTGGTACAGCCCTAATGTCATATGCAATGTTACACACATAAATTTGTTTCATTTTTTAAAAAACTCCCATCAATTTTCGGGCTTAATTGTGAATGCAATGCCTATATTTTAGCAGAATTTTGAGAGATATTATTAATTTTTCTCTGAATTGTCTGCTATTGATATCAAACCATATCACTTTGCAGAGAAACACAAGCAATAAAAGATTCCTGTCCCAAGGAGCTTGCTTCCACATTAACTACGTAACATCTCACCCACTGAAATCAATAAGGCTTAAACATGCTGAATTTCAGCTCGTGTACGTTGCACTTTTTGAAATGTATCTCTTGGGATTCTTCGAAATAAAGTTGACGTACAAAATTCTAGACACATTGCTAAGGAGGTGGGGTGTACTCTCTAAGCTTTCATATCTTTGCATTGGCTTGAAAACTAACGACTGTATGGTTTTTGAGATTATAGTCACTTCACATGAACAAGCTCGCCACCTGTTAGAAACTGCCAAACAAACAAAAGTGAAATTGTTATAATGCACCTGTTTTGCTCCGATGAATCTGTCCAGAATGACGGAAGCAGAATAACATTGGCAGCAGCAACCTCAAATCTTGACTATCCCTTGATGCACATCTGGGCCTTGCTAGGCCCAACTTGACCACCAACTTGAGTAAACATTGGAGCAGCCATGCTGGGCCAAAATGGATGACAATTGAAAAGTGAGCTGCTTGGAACCTTTGCTAAATCACAGTGACACATTTTGGCACCTTAGGTCTCAGGGATAAGGTGCTAAAGAAAACAACAATGGGCACCTCAACAAATGTGAAATTATAACATTACTGGATTGTTTTAAAGACTATGCAAGAATATGAATAACTGCCAAAAGCAGTGATTTCATTTACGCTTTTCCTTAGTTAGATTATGGCCGGCCTTTAGCAGCTTCTGTCATGGGTTTGCTTAAGTGATGAATTTGAGAGGCAAGATGGAAAAACCTGGTCCAGTCACTGATCAATATAAAATATTTCACAGGCTCATTTTTCTCTCCTCCTTTTTAGCCCTTGGTCACACACACCTCTCCTTCACCTAGCAGAAAACAACATGATCTGGACCCACACCATTGATTGGGTGACAATGACCTTTATTCTAAGGTGCTAAGAATGATAAAAAAATAAAGAAATCTAGGTTTCCTAATAATAAAAAAAAAACTAAGGCAGCTCGGGAAGTTTTGAGGACAAATCTTCAGCTAGATAAAAAAACAGCAAGCCTAAGCTTCACATTAAAACAACTGATTGCTTTGACAGCACAATTATAATGCTATTCTTATGTCACTCTTAATCTATATTTTCTAAATGCTATATTACATTATATTCTGTTTTACTAAGTCTTTATTCAAAGCTCACAATATGATTTTCTATATGAAAATTATGCTGTTCTCTGAATGAAGCTGTACATATAGAAAAATTGCTCCCTGACACATCAGGACCAGATTAAATCATTTGTTTTATATTTTATGATTTTATAATTTATAATGATTTAATTTAAGTATTTTTTAATGAGTAGGTGGTTTATAAATATCTCTTTAAATAAAAACAAATAAACTGCACCACCAAATTAAACATGGGATATATCTTTTCATCACTTAAAAGTCAGAGGAGATATAATTAAAGTGGCATTGTGTGATACTGATCTGTATCAAGTTATCTAGCCACACAAATATTTTGATATTGTTGAAATGCAAGTGAGAGAAACATATCTATATAATTCTGAGATTGTCAAAGAAACGTGTTATTCAAAGGATAGCAGCCTGACAGAGACACAAAGATTTGTGTGTCTCGAAGACCAAGAGGAGTGTATCTGGGAAAGGGCAGGCCTGATCAGGAGAGAAACCATTTTAGTAATTGAAGGTCTTAATTTTATTCAGAAGGCATGGCTTCATGATACTCATTGACATCAGAGAAAACCTCAAGGGGCTCAACATCTGTGTGCTTGCTGTTGTTCGGGGGCACGTCAGATTCACATCACTGAACAACACAAGCAGATAAAATGTTCAGAAACACACCTGCCGCTAACCAATTTCCAAGAGATGGTATCTCTGCTGAGTTGCCCATTCCAGTTGATTTTAGTCCACCTCAACCACACAAAGCTGCATTTCTGCTACACAGAAAGCTCATGGATTATCCTGCCACAGTGGTGCTGCTTCTTGACAACTTGTGGCAGTTGCTCAAGAGTTCATGGATGCCAGGAGACAGGTGCCTAGCTTGAATAGTGCAACCAGAATTCTCCCAAGGTAAAATAGTTGGGCTTGAGACATGGGGAGGAATTCAATATTGCACAAAGGTGATCAGTCTGTCAGGGCAAGCATTTAGGCTTACTAGATGGAATAAGCCCACCCTCTCATCCCTCCACAAACTGTTCGGGGGGGGAGTTCTTACTGTTGGAGAAAAGGAAATGCATTTAATCCTCTTGTGCTTTTAGCTAATACATATGTTACTTTAAAACACACATGTCTAGTGATGTAGCCACCTCCTGTTTATAGCTTCTTTGTCTAAGTTAACTCCACCCCTAAAAGCTGAGACATTTTGAGATTGGGAGATGTCTGCCATTTTTCTCTCTCTAATCACTCATTCTGTAAATAGTTCCTGCATGAATAAAGCCATTGAACTCCAACAACTATGATTATTCAAATCTAATTCACCCAAGCTGCAAGGTTTGCTAACACTTCCAACCAACCTCATTCACAGTTGTTGTTGCTGCCACCAGTTCACGAACAATGCATAATTGATTACTTTTCTTCCCATTTGCACTGTGTTGCATTGACATGAACGGAGTAGAATAATGTAACTTAATTAATTTGCATATGGAATTAATTTACATACTAAATTAATTTAGTTGCATTGACATTATGTAAAGTACATCATTTCATCACAGTGGACAACAAGACAAATAATATTTTTGGCAGAGAACAAACTGAAGCGGAAGGGAAACAGCGTTACATGTGACAAATACAGGTTGGAACAAAAAGTGATGCCTTCTTACATGCCTATGCACCACAAACAATTCTGAAGAACAGCTCAGCATAACCTCTGTGCAAGCTTTTTTTTTGCAAGCAAATCAGGATGAATGCTCAATAAACAGGTAACCTGGAGAAGACTGCTCTCTTAGGCAGAGCCTGTGTTTTGCCATACACATACACGCACAGAAACAAACACACATACTGTGCACGGCTACTATAGACACTTGAGAAAGAAGAATAATCCACTGTCACCACTTTCACATTATGTGCAAAACAGCCTTTCAACAAGATAACCACTGTGTATTTTCAGGTCACAGAGGGAGCAAGGCAGGCATAGAAAGAACAGGAGAATCATATCCTTTTTCTCTCCTGTAAGGTAAAAAAAAACACAAAAAAACAAAAAACCCTGACAGGGTGAAGAGACAAGATGACAGCCCATAAGAGACAACATTAGCACATTACTATTTTAGACTGCTATTTGATTTTGATACCATTCCTATTTTACTCTTAGAATGATATGTCTAAAAATGATGGTTGTCCTGGACGTCAGGTGAGGCTGTCAATTCCTGTTCTCTCCAGGTCATCCCTGGACATCTGGCAACCCTATCTTAATGTCACTGCAATCATGCTTTGCTGGCTTGCTACATCCCTCAAATGAACTGTGCTCCAGATGATATTTAAAGGTCATCGCCGAGGATTGCTCTCTCTCTCTCTTACCCTTGACTAAATCTCCCATGGCACAGGATCGAAAGAAATTCTCCAGGTGATGTTAGCACCCATGAGAAAGGGTGTGTGATTTCTCAGTATGTCTCTAAACTTCTTTTTCTGGGAGCAGGCAGTTGTCTGGTCAAGGGCACAGTTCCTTTGCTTTTTAATACATGGGTATTTCCACCACTACCACCTTCAGATGCTGAGGTGTGGGGAGTAGACAGAGCTATGAACCCCATGTAGCTGACCTGCACCCACTACACAAGTTTGCTGCCCCCAAGTGTAGTGAAGGATACTGTCTATTCACTACCAGTTCAAATGGTATGTGTCATCTTGACCTTCTCCTCAGGCAGCAAAATGTCTTGAGCTGGCCGGGATACGTAAGCTATTGCTAATCAGTTCCTCATTTAAAGCACAGATACATCTAGCTATATTGTCCTAAGATGACTGACAGGGAGATAATTCAGACAAGTCTGAAAAGAAATACCCAAATTGTCATGCAAATAGACCCATGGGCTATTGATTTTTCTTGTTCAAATCAGGAAGCCAGTGTGTTAATTGTGACAACTGTGTCTATTTTCTGCAGAGAAAAGGGCTGTTTATTCCAAGGTTATCCGTTCTCTTCCTCTGAAGATCTGAAAAAGAACTTAAGATACTACCATACAGATTCTGTAGGCCTTATACCAATATAAGTTCAAATTGTTTTTCCCGCCTGACCATGTTCTCTGTCCTAAAACAAGGCTGAATGACAAACTGATTGTCAAGCAAAATGCTTTTGTTTTGTTTGTTTTTTCCTTTACGTGCTAGAGCTTTGAAGTTGCAAATGGAGGCAGGGAAATGGTGCAGCTGTAGCCCCAGCAGTGAGCTGCTTAATTCACTGCTTTGTGCTGTTTTCTGGTGAATTCTCTGAAAAATGAAATTGAAGTGAATTCAGAGAGAGATTCAGATAGAGAAGTGTTCATGTGGGCGAAAGTGGGTGAATGTTGAGGTAAGAGTGTGTTAGTGGGCAGTGGTGTAGGAAAGGGGGTGTGGTGGATGCGGTCTGCCCCGGGTGTCATCACTGAGGGGGTTGGCAAAATGGCAAAAATATGTGTTTTTGAAAAAATAACTCCCGCACCCACCTCATGCCCCTTCCTATGCCACTGCAGGAACACTCTCCCCTCGAGCGATTGCCAAAAACCAGAAACATGGCTGTCTCCAACTTTGCAGGCAGAGCACGGCCTTTATGGCTAGGAGCCTTCAACAGCCCTCTCCTCCATGAATCTGCCCAATTCAGAGGCATAGCTAGGTAACTAGGAGGGCCCTGCATATCACACTGCAGGGCCTGTAGCGTGCCTGAGCCACACATCTCTCCTGAGGGGGAGGCAGTGTGCGGACTGCCTGCAAGCTCCGTGCTGCTTTTTCGAGCAGCCTGGGGCTTGCCCTACAGCTGAGGGGGAGGCTGCGGAGAGGCTCCACGCAGCATGCCCTGCCTTGGCTCGCCGCACCCCCATAGGCAGCTTGGGCCACCCCAATGGGCAGCTTGCTCCGCCCCCGGCTGCAGGGCGCGCGCGCCACCCCGAGCACCCAAGCGGCTAGCTACGCCGCTGTTAGTGGGTACAGAATTTGTGTGCGTGGAATGGTATTGATTGAGTACAATTTTAGTTTATGGATTTTGAGGTTGTGGGCTCACCCACACCTCTGCTTGTCCTGTGCCTAGAAAGCATGGGCCCAATAGGCTTTTTCTAGGCACGGCTCAGATCAGTTTTTCATTTGTCCTGCCACTTTCCCTGGGAAAATCCACTGTTAACTAGGGAAAATCAGAATAAACATTATACACACACACACACACACACACACATATACACACACACTCACCAACAATTAACACCTGTTCCAGTTCAATGGTAACTGTGGGTATTCCCAGGCGAAAGCAGCAAGACAAACAGAAGGGTGGAAAAGCCCTGTATTTGTTTTATCGCTTTACATACAGACAACTCCTAATTTTTGTGGGGTTGTGTTCTGCACTTCCATGTATGTAACTGAAATCAAATATATTGGGAGCACCCTGGAGAGTCCTTCTGGCTCCTGAGGAAACTCTCCCCAGAGCCCAAAAAGGTCCCTGGGGAGAGTCTCCTCAGGAGCCTGAGACGCAGCTGTGCTTTGCTGAGGCTTCCTACCTAGCATCTGGTGTGCAGGGTAGAGTAGCTGCTGCCACTGCTTTCCCACCTGTCAGCTGTGGAAGCCATCTTGTATCTCTGGCACATGAGCTGGAGGGATAGCGCAGCTTCCTTGACCAGCACAGCTGAAGCTTCGATGGAATTTTCCAATGTTAAACCTTCAGCAATACACATACAGAGCTATTTTCCATTACAATGCACAATGAAACAATTATAATTAACACAACTGACCCAACGGAACTATGTAGAGCTGACTACTGAACCTTCATTAGACATGACTAGAACAAAACTGGGATGGCAGCCCTGCAGCAGGGCCAACACAGTACATTTAAGTTATGTGAGAACAAGGTCTCCACTCCATTCTACATATGGAAGCCAACAGGACTGGCACCAGAATTTTGCCTCAACTCTTGTGACAGGACAGCATGCTCCACTGCACCTGAGGACAGCAGGCTAACTTATGGAGGGTACAGGACAGGCTACATGGTGCTCACAACTTGGTCTTCACTGTCATCTGAGGAGGCTGCTGCACTCTGCCAAACAGTAGGGCCAGGCCTGGGGTGACTGGTATTTGCAAAACATTTAATTTATTTTATTTGGACAGTTTGGATACCATTTATATTTAAGCAAAGCTTAAAGTGGAACAACAACAAAGCAACCCCCGCATACCCAGAGAATTCCCACACCTTATAAGACACAATCAAGCAGAGGGCCTTCTTGGTAGTGGCACCTGCCCTGTGGAACGCCCTCCCATCAGATGTCAAGGAAATAAACAATTACCTGACTTTTAGAAGACATCTGAAGGCAGCCCTGTTTAGGGAAGTTTTTCATATTTGAGCACAGTTTTTTATATTCTATTGGGAGCTGCCCAGGGTGGCTGGGAAAACCCAGCCAGATAGGCAGGGTATTATTAATAATAATAATAATAATAATAATAATAATAATAATAATACAAACAGCAATGAAATAGAGCATCCTCTTTAGCATCAAAATAAGCATTTGCACTACAAAAACACAAGGGAAGAATTCACACTGTAAAACGCAGCTTTAAAAAATCCTCTAAACATAAAAAATGGAATGTTGCAAATGAAAATCAACTAAATGTATGAATTCCACAATTTTCAATAGAGTGATTAACAAGTAAAAGGAAAACCAACTCAACCATATGCCAAATCAATCATTTAACAAGCCAGCCTAGTTAAATCCCCAACACACCTATACAACAATAAACACAACTTAATCTAACTACAGCTAAAAATACATCCCATTCAGCACCTCCCAAAAACATTCTTACATGATTGTATCAATCAGAAACAAAAACACTCTGGACCCATATATGCAAGCTTACTATTCTAGTATACCTTCGCAATTGCATTCTCCACACTCTGAAACCACTCCCATAAGTCCATTTCACATCAATCAACAACCCACTCACATGTCAACCCAATGAGACTCAGAAAAACCTGGAAAAATACTGACATATTAGCAAGCAACAATACATACCCCCCAAGCTTTCTCCCTCATCTCTCATTCTGTTGGGGCAGAAGCTATCCTCCATGCCACCCAAAGGGTATGGAAACCACTTCCTACAGCTTTCTAACAGATCAGTTAATGATGTCTATTCTCTGCCCCCCCCCCCAAAAAAAAGCAGGGAAAGAAAAGGACCTTGAACATTGCTCTGACTTGGCCTTCTTTTGAAGCACAGAAAGGAAACATTTCTGAGTTCAGGCACTTCTTGCTCTCGACTCAATTAAAAAAGCAAACCTTTTGTAGCCGAATGTGATTCCACAAAAATACAGGCAATGCCTTATGTAGTATAGCACAAAAAGCGAAAGGAGAACTATGTGGAAGGAGAACTAGGACAAGGACTGAAGCACAAGTAAGGTCTGCATGAGGGAGTTTGTTAGGGCTGCGTAGTCACTTTTAGGCAATAAAAGTGTTACTACACTTTTATTGCCTAAAACTTATGGCATTCATAAAATACCTTTTGCACGCATGGACGTCATTCATGTGAAGCAGCGCCACTGGTTTTAATTCTGAAAGAATACATTATAATTCTGGGGTTCTAGAGTTCTCTTCCCCCACTCGGAGATGTGAGAAAATGCCCCCTGCCCCCCCAAAAAAAACTGAGGCCTCTTTCTCCTTCCAAATCAGGGCAACATATGCTGGACTCATTATTATTTACATCCTCTCGCTGTGCTTTGCCATTAACTTTCCTTTCCTTTGCATGAATGAGTGCCCTTGAAAGCCTACTAGTGTCACTATTAAACTGGAACCCTATTAGTGTCGAAGCTCAACTTTTGTGCATTTACGGGAGTTCCGATAATTAATATCTAGCATCTACCAGCCCTCTCTCTTTTATTATTAGATTTTTATTGATTGCCAGAATGGCTTTATGAGTATTCTTATCCTTGATCTTGTGTTCTGACAATGTAGCAATGTTGCAGCAAAGCAGGAACAAAATATCTTTCAGGGGAATAATGGAAAACAGCCATAAACAATTCCCCCATATTTTTAGCTGAAATAATGGAATGACAAGATGTGCCTTTAAAGAATAAATGGGGAAGCTTCTCTCTCTCTCTCTCTCTCTCTCTCTCTCTCTCTCTCCCTCTGTGTGTGTGTGTGTTCAGATTCTGCCAGTTCTATCCTTCTCACACAATAGTGGTGCTTTTCTAAATGAAAACTATATTTGAAAATAGTAGACCAGTTCCAATCAAGCAGCTGGAAAGATGTCATAACATAGAAGGCAAGTGGGTGGTTTAAGAGGACTGACAATTAACCTCTTCTTGATGATTCCCAAGAAACCTGAGGTCTTTCTGTTAGGTATAACTGGACCAAAGCTTATGAGGGAATTGTTTAATTTGTTTATGTATGATATGACAGCAGCAAGAATACACTGTGCGCAAAAATGGAAAGAAGAGGAAGTCCCGACGAAAGAAGAATGGCTTATGAAGATAATGGAATATGCTGGGATGGCTAGACTAACTGAGAATTACAGAACAGAATGAAGAAAAAATTACTGAAGAATAGAAATATTTTGTAGATTATTTTTTTAAAAAAATCGTGGTTATGTTAAAACGTATGCAGGATTTGAAGAATAGCAGCTGATGAGAAGTGGTAGTTTAATGATTTATAATTAATGTATATAATGGGTAAAATATAAGTGATATAGCAGCTTTATAAGGTACGGAAAAAATACCATGGAAGGGTAAATAGGAAGTCAATGGATATAAGATGTATGTTTTGATGGTTGCTGAAAAATATCTGTAAAATTTGAAAAGCACATATATATGTCATATATTTATGACAATTAACCCCTTACACCTTAGCCCTTCTTTCTAGTATTGGGTCTTTCAAGCTTGGCCACAGTCTGCACCACCAGGAAATGATCTCATCTGTGGACCCTGGTGGACTGTTGGTTGAGACAATGATGGAGAAAGGGACTTGTGGAACCGTGGTGGGTGTCTCTAACCTTGTGTAGGATTTCTAGACTGCAGGTCAAAAGGAGTCCGAGGGGCGGTGATGGGCACTTAGAATGCTGTCTCTTTCCCAAAGACCCTGTACAAGAAGTCCAGTAGAGAAGTATGCAGGTCATGGTGGTCCTCAGAATC